TTGATATCCTTTAGATAATTGTTCTTTATTTCATAAATTACGGTTTCATATTTTTGATTTTATAATTTCTGCATGCCATCTTACCAGATTTAAACTGATGATCTATAATCCAGAAAAATCGATAATCTGGAATCGCTGAAGTCGCGATGAGTCTGGATTAACGACATTTGACAGTATGTCAATAAAATAGAAAATAACTATTTATTAATGTATATAGTCCATAAGTAAAAATATTAACTCTGTCATTATTTTTTTTTCAATTCACTTTAATTTCATTTCAAATTCAAACTGTTGAATAAAAACTGGAGTCGGAGTCGACGTGTTTTTTAGCGACTCCAACTCAAGACTCCTTTTACCCAAAAATCTACACTCCGATTCCGACACCATGACTCCACAGCCCTGGTTACTCTGAATATGAAGTGGGAAGCAACATAATTAAGATGGAATAATAGGGCTGCATATTATTTATAGTTGATCTTGCAAAAATTTAGAATGAAACTAAAAACTACTCATTGATAGTTACTTTGATATCGGAAGGAAATTTTTTTCCAAATGAATCCCTAAAGTTTGCAATATGTCACGATCCAGTATTTAGAAAATATATAAATTTATGGTACACACTGACTACCAATAAGTATTTGGACACCTATGCAAATGACGATATCTGCAGTCCTAAGGTACGTCACGGACTCCAGCGGTATATATTGTGTAGGAAACAGCATCGACTTTACTCGCATGCAAGATGCCTCGCAGTTCGGAGCTCTATGATTTCGAGAAAGGTATAATTATCAGGTATCACAAATGTGGCCGATCCTTAAGGGACATATCTAGCGATCTGAAGTACCCAAAATCGACAGTGGTCTATGCGATTAAGAAGTGGAAGGTGAGCGGTGATTGTTGGAATGTGCCCCGAGTCGGCAGACCAACGAAACTGGGAGATAGAGACCGACGAGTGCTGTCCAGAGAAATTCGGAAGAACCACACCCAACCGATGGCTCTCATTCGCGAGGAGTTTCAACAGGCATCCGGGAGTATAGTTTCAATGAATACCATCTGTAAGGAAGCACATCTGCTTGGTTTTCATGGTCATGCTGCTGCCCATAAGCTTTTGATCACAAAATCCAACCGCGCTGCTCGGTTAATGTGGTGCAAAGCACATCGAAATTGGACCATAGATCAGTAGAAACAGGTTCTTTGGAGTGATGAATCAAGGTTCACCCTTTACCGTTCGGATGGCAGGGTCTGGGGTCTACATGGAGAACGTCTCCTGCCAGAATGCATTGTGCCAACAGTCAAGTTCGGCGGAGGTGGAATTATGGTCTGGGGGTGTTTCTCCTGGTATGGGCTGGGACCCTTGGTCCCCATTCATGGTAAGCTCAACTCCGATGCCTACTGCACCATTTTGGATGATAATGTGCTTCCTACGTTGTGACAGTTTTACGGGTTGGACACTTGTTACTTTCAGGACGACAATGGCAGTTGTCATGTTTTGACGTTAACCAAGGTTTGGTATGGTGCCAATGGAGTTCATCGAATGGACTGGCCTGCCCAGATTCCAGACCTGAACCCTATCGAGAACCTCTGGGACGAGTTGCATCGCTGAATTAAGGGTTGCACTACCCGTGCAAAATCAGTGAAGGAACTTCTATGTCTTTTCCAAGCCGAGGGGAAGAAAATACGACTAGCTGTCATACAAAGACTTGTGGAAAGTATGCCCCGGAGGGTCAACACTGTAATTACCTCTCGTGGAGGCTCTACCAATTATTGATTTTGAATAAAGTTAGTTTTTCTTTTCTATCACAGGTCTCCAAATACTTATTGGTAGTCAGTGTATATGTTACTGATGCACCAGACTCCAAATCTGGAAATATTTTATTTCGTATGGCAACCATACAATTTCGCAAGATTTTGTTTCGTATGGCAACCATACAATTTCGCAAGATTTTGTTTCATATGGCAATCCAGTTAATCAGTTTAAGCATTTCCGCACCTGAGTGAGATTTTATTTGCTGGATCGCACGTGGATGTTATCTGGATGTATTTATGCCATTTTGATTGACTGTTTATTGCTTTATTCCTTATGGTTGGAATTTCAATAGTGTATGTTGCTGAGAGATATTAACCACATATTTTGGAAGACATTAAGTCTTAAATTTTCTAAAGTTAGGTATCCTGTTGGTGCTATAAATGATGCTTTTTGGGGGGCGAGCAGATAGAATTTTTTGCCCCTCCGTAATCTTTTCAGGGAAAGATTCTTGGCGCGTTTCTGAGAATTGCACAAACTCGGTATCCACGTACAAATCGACCTATCGTCACTTAAAAAAAATCCCAGAATTGCACAAAAATGGCATTACGCACTCCCTTGACTTTATCCATGTACACATCGACCTATTGGTTGATCTTTGGATTATGGTAACTTGGCGATTTTTTGGCGAAAATTTGGCGACCAACCGTGCTACAAGCAACCCTGCTAGTTTTGTTTTGGCCGCCATTTTGTTCTTCACAAAGTAAGACATGTTTCTTTTTTTTATTTACTGAACACTTTTTCCAACAATCTACTAGCCAAATTACACTTATGCTAGAAATTTTATGTAACAAAACTGCTTAATCATGACAAATATTAACTGCAAAATTGGGAAAAAGTGCACAATCACAAACTCCTTGCACGTTTTTTAGAATAGCACATAGACCATTTACACGTCGACTTATTTTTACTTAAAAAAACATCCCAGAATTGCACAAAAATGGCATTGCACACACTCTCAACTTTATCCATCTACACTGCATTTTTCTCATAAATTAGAAAAATTTGCACGAAAATGCAAGAAAATTTTGTGACTCTTTAAACTCGGTAAAAAGGCACATATATGAAATTACCTGATCGCGAAAAAGAAATATACCCTTCCTAAGGATGAACATTTCCACGTATAAAATATCCGAAAACTTTACCTCTAAATTATCTATTATATTATAAACGTCACCAACGAATTCATACCGCAAACATTACAAAATGGTTACAAATGCTTAGTGTCAAATATTTTAAATTATTTCCATGCACGTTTACTTCAACTGAAACGTATACCAAATTCCTACAAACATAAAATTCACAAAATAACTATCATTTAATTAAAATATCACTAAACCATATACACGTCGACTTATTTTTACTTAAAAAAAACATCCCAGAATTGCACAAAAATGGCATTGCACACACTCTTCACTATATCCATGTACACTGCTTTTTTCTCATAAATTAGAAAAAATTTCACGAAAATGCATGAAAATTTTGTGAATCTTTAAATCCGGTAAAAAAAGAACATATATGAAATTACCAGATCGCGAAAAAGTATATACCCTTTCCAAGATGAAAATTTCCCCGTATATAAATAAATAAAATATCTAAAAAATTTTACCTCTAAATTATCTATTATATTATAAACATCACCAACGAATTCATACCTCAAACATTACAAAATGGTTACAAATACTTAGTGTCAAATATTTAAATTTATTTCCATGCACGTTTACTTTCACTGAAACGTATACCAAATTCCTACAAACATATAATTCACAAAATAACTATCACTTAATTAAAATATAATTAAATTCAAAAACACTACTTAAAATATAAAAATCATTGCTAATAACAATTGTCCAATAATACCATATTATTTTATTTACTCCTTGCATTTAGAACAATGCATAAAAATAATATCCTCAAAGAATTAAAAATACTAACTTACCTAATCATCTTCAGAATCTTGATTACGTGGCTGATAAACTTTTCTTGTTTCCTCCGCTAAATAAAAAGCAAGCGTATGTGCGCCTGTTTCAGGATCTTTAAAATCATACTTATAGTTCACAGCAAGGTACCAGGTAAAATAAATAACTTAATAAAACATCTTTACTTCTATCTCGCACAACCATAAAAAAACACTTATTACTACCCCTTTCAATCCCACTAAATACCCATTTCGAATTCACTTTAGTTAGGGCCATGGGATCCAAAAATTAACGAACACTGTTTCACACAACACAGAATAAAGCTAAATACAAAATTTCCACATTTTTTCCCCGATTTCCCCCCTTTTCCGATTAAAGAACTGTAATTCGTCCATTATGTCACATGACATATCTCATGATCTCTCATTTCCCTCACACAAAATAATGCGTAATCGGAACTGAGTACTTCTCACATTATTACCAAAGTCCCAGGTAGTAACCTTTATCGCCTCCAAAATGTCGCCAAACTACCAGTTACCATATTCCAAACATCAGCCGACCTATTTTCACTTAAAAAGTCAAAGAAAATTGACAAAATTCCAATTCCTCTTACTCTTTTTAAAAGCAAACAAATAAGAAGGCGATTCTGCACTTTACCCATCTTTTCTTTCACAAACTACATCCACCCTATTTCTTATATACATAACAATACTTAAAACTGCTTTACATTGTAGAAATGCATCAGAATATTTTTTGAACAAACATCAAATACTATTTTCAAATGCTTCACAGGAACTAAAAATGAGAACTATATATTAAAAAAATATTCACATTTATTTTTGGAAAATAATGTACCAGTAATTTTTTAATTAAATTAAGCACATCAGACGAACATATAACAAAAAAAATCTAACATTACAAAAAAACTTTTCATTAGCACATGAAATAAATCGTATAGATTAAAAGAGGAAAAAAAAAAAAAAAAAAAAAAATCATACTACTTCCGACACTCACTAATATTTCAATACTGTACAATGGTGACTACTTCTTAAAGTTATGCATCATACTCTGCTCGATAATTCTAAACTCAAAACCTTTACTTATTGAGTTCTTTGAACACAGCAATCCACAAATTGCATCGAAATTCTCAAAAAATTTAATAACAACCCGCGAAAGTATTTTGTTACTACATAAACATGGAATTTCTAGATAAAACTGATTCATCAATATATAAATAATGGCTTTTATTCACATAAAATTCAAATTTGACGTCTTACCATCTTGATTAAGTTCAGATATTCTGTTCTACGCTACTAGTTTTCTCTAGTCTGCAAACCAGAAACTTAAATTACTTCACGATATATTGCCAAATACCAAATTAGCAGACACGCAGCTTGGAGATTTGATATTTGTGAGAAAGGTTGAGAAATAATCTTGAATTAAAAAATAAATAAATAAAATAAAATAAATAAAAACCTAATTTCCACAAATAAATCTGAAAGGATTGTTTTTAATTGACTTATTTTAATTTTATAATAAATTAATAAATTTAGTTAATGTGCGCAGATGCGCTAGCCAGTCTTGAAATCGCCAGAGTTTGTCCTTTTAAAAACATTTATTTTTCAGTTTACAGTATTCTAAGTATAATAGTTAGAAGGGATCGGAGAGAAAGGTCTGCCATGTGCGGCTTGTTTCCGAAGGGGGCATTTTTCATATAAAACATGATTTCCTGTGGGCTAGTCGTATGGACTGTCAAGTCGTTCCTTAGAATTAGTACAGTCGGTCACAAAAGTATTCGAACACCGGTACCCTATCAGAAAATGACAAGATGGCGTTTTTTTTCCCTCTTTCTCTCTGTGTGTCGTGTTATTCCATCCTAGGTTTTCTTCTCCCCCCCATCTTGGAAAAAACTGGAAAAAATTGGTTACGATCTCTTTTTGAATGGGGAGATGCCATTTTGAGAAAAAGCTGACGACCCTATCTTGGAGAATGAACATGACCGCTCTACACACCCTTTCACTCTCTCTCTCTTTGAATTGGGAAGCCATTTTGGGAAAAAGCAGACGACCCTATCTTGGAGAATGGAAATGAACGCCTCTCCCTCTCTCTTTGAAATGGGAAGCCATTTTGGGACCCTCTATTCTTGGGGAGGGAGAAAACTGAAGTCTGCATTTCGCTGTCTCTGAATGCGGAAAGCCCTTTTGGGAAAAGCGGACCCTCTTCTTCTGATCTTGGAGAACTGGAAATGAACGCTCTACACGATCTCTCTTTGAATTCAGAAGGTATTTTGGGACCTTCTAATGTTGGAAAACTGAAATGAACGCTCTACACCTTCTCTCTCTCTCTCTTTCTCTGAAATGGGTAGCCATTTGAAAACTCCCTAACTTTGGAAAAAAACAGAAATGAACGCTCTACACCATCTCTCTTTGAAAATGGGGGGTGTCATTTTGAGACCTCCCTCCCCTAAACTTGGAAAAAAAAACTGAAATGAACGCTCTACACTTTCTCTCTTTGGACATGGGTAGCCCTTTGGGGACCCTCTCCTCTTGGTAGGAAAAAAAAAGAACTGAAGTGAAGGCTCTACACAATCTCTCTTGGAATGGGATCCATATTTCGGGAAACGTGGATCACCTCATGCTGGAAAACTGAAGTGAACCACCAAGATTGGACTCTATATAATATTTTTTTTAATTGACATCATGACCCTCCTCCAATTTGTTATTAAAAAAATTGTTTTTTTTTTTTTTTTGTTTTGGTTTTTATCCCATTTCCGATGTGATTTCAGAAATGCAATTCCATAACAGTTCAATTTCATTCGAGGTTAAATGATCTAAACAGTCTTTGACCCACCCATCCGTATGATTATTTTCTTCTCCTTCCTGTTGCACCAAATTTTGTAAGTCCATATAATCATTCCATACGGGAAGGGCTGGATCCTCACAAGGCTGTCTTGAAACACTTGGAGTCTCTTTGGGATGAGTGGAGGGATCTAGGATGTCTGGACCCGGCTGCGATTCTACCTCCATGATTTCTGGACCCGTTGGAACTTGTGAACCCGGCTGTGATTCTGCCTCCATGATTTCTGGACCTGTTGGAACTTGTGGACCCGGCTGACATTCTACCTCTACGATGTCGGGACTTTTTGAAGCTTGTGGACCCGTCTGACATTCTACCTCTACGATGTCGGGACAGGTTGGAGGAGGAGAGAAGAAGAAGAAGAGGATACTGGAAGAGGTTCTGTCTGTGAGGAGTCCGAAAGAGGTTGCCTGTTTGAACAAGTCGGGGAAGAAGAAGAAGAAGAAGAAGCTTCTGGATTCTGAAGCGGATCTTGCACGCCAGGTAGGTTCCGGTAAGTCGACCGTTTTTTAAGAGGTAATTTTTTTTTTCTTCCTCCTCATCTTCAATTGTGATGACTTCAATTTCATTCCGTTGCCGGGTCGATTTTGTTTCGGGAAATACGACGGTTTGGTCCAGCTCCTCTTATCATCTAAGGAAGGGATGGGTAAAGGTGGCGGAGGGTTTTCTTCTTCTTTTTCTTGAAAACATCATCGGCGATTGGAAAGAAATCTCCTCTTTCAATTGTTTCCAAAGCGAGTACGAGCACCGATCGACGAGAAAGAGACTCTTCTGGGTTGTGACGATGAGATATTGCGTTTTCGGGGGAACGACATAGTTTTGAAAAGGTCTTAGAATATATTTCTTATATTTCATCCTGTCGCTGACTTTAAAACTTCTTTCCTTCAGATTGGGGGACGATGATTCGTAATAGGCGAGAGGAGCGGCTGTGGTTTGAACAATATGAACTTCGTCCTCAGCCGTCGTTCTCACTCCAAACGTAAAATATCGTTTCGTGAGAAAAATATTCTTCCACCGAAAACTCGTGCGCGGATCTGTATATCGCCGGTCTGTTTGAATGGGCCGTCTCAAAGCTCGATCCATCCGATTCCAAGAGAAGGGAGATTCCTCTTTCGTTTGTTGCGATTCGAATAAATTTCTGTATATATTCTGAACGAGCAGGTTGGAGGATTCGACATCTTGGTTGAAAGAAACGATCGCTTGATGAGGTGGTAAATGCGGAATAAATGTCGCACAATGACACGCCAAAAAAATTTTCAAGTTGGAGATTTGCTTTAGCGTCTTCAAATCCTCCCCGTTCGAAATCCGTTGAGTTGGAAAAACGTCTAATAGCGACATGGCTCCCAATGGAAAAGAAATGATCTCGCCCAGTACTCTCGTCTTTTTATATCTATATAGACAAACACAGACACACATAGAGGCTCTATGACGTCCGTTTTTATTTGTTTTTTTTTGTTTCTCTCTCTCTTCTTTCCAAGAAATCTTATCTCCATGACCTCTTTTTCTTTTCTTAAAAAGATGAATGTGTGTGGGAATGAGGAAGTGAAAGTAATAATTTAATAAACAAAAAATTATCCAACCATGACCTTCTTTTTTTTTTTCAAAGTCAACCTTTCCAATCCAAGGACGTCCAGAGATAGAGGAAGCAGGGAGAGAGGAGGAGGAGGGAAGGGAAGGTCACACTCTCTTTCTCTCTATAAATAAAAGGGGAGAGCCCCAAAGTCGTATTTTTGTCCAAGTGGATCATGAGGAGGCATCCCCAGCTCACTACGTGTATTCCTTTCAAATATAAATATGTTGATCTTTCCTTTTATATCATCCAAGGAGTCGTTTACCTGAAAGCCTCCGATTTTTCAAAATGTGCGGGTTATTATACCGTGGGGAGTTATCAAAAGATGCGGGACGAATTTTTGTCCGACGAAAACGTGTTGATGGCTCGTGACATTCCACCTTTGGATGCACAAATTTTGTTAATGAAACGAGCCAAATATTTTTACACGTCCCACTTTCTAACCGTCTCGCAAATGAATAGGATTATGGATCGTCTTGAGAAGACAAAAGGGATTCTCGTTCATTTTAG